CATTACCTGGGACCTTCTTTTTACCCCCTATGTATTTAAAAAAAGACTTCTTATTGTCCTTAATCTGGGAAGCTAGTCCCAGTTCCATCTCTGCCTTGGCCTTCCTAACTACCCCCCTACATCCCCGAGCAACTGCAGAATAGCCCTCCTTGGTGATGACCCCTTCTTTCCATTGGGTGTAAGCCACCTTTTTAGCAAGGAGACATTCCTGGATGCTTTTGGTGAGCCATGGGGGCTTATGTGCCCTCCTGCTCCCTTTGATCCTCATTGGGATTACCTTCCTTTGGGCTTGGAGGATCGTCTCCTTGAGGAGCAACCACTCTCCTTGGACACCTGTCTCCCCTCCCCTCCGGGACCTCAGCGCTTCTCCAACTATCCTCCTTAGCTCGATGAAACTTGCCCTCCTAAAAGTTCTTTGGATGTGACCAAGTTCAGCAGCAAGTGGGCAAGTAGGGGTGAAATAACAGCTATGGGAAAGTTCCAGGGAATTCAGCTGTAGAGAACTGTGATTCCACTTCGGGACCTGCTGGGCCTTGTGACCAAACGCTCACTGGGTGCATCTACATGTGACTCTACGTTTGCCTCAGTTGTCCATATACTACTATGCATTGGTCATTTATCCAACAGCTGTAGCAACACACTATGGCAACATAGCATCGGGAGTCAAACCACAACAATGCTGCAGCTCCATTGCCATAGCAATGTGCACTATAGTGCATTGCTACAGTGATGTTGCAGCTAAAAATAAACATGCACCACCAGCACAGTGCAGTGCGGGCTGTTACAGCGCCATCATTTAGTACTTCTTTTTAGGAAGTACTAAGTGATGGCGCAGTAACAATGAGGTCATAGGGGCATGTGTAGACACGCCCACTGTCAACATGATAGATGATCTCATGTAGTTCCTCAGTTGGGAATTAAAGGCATTATGGGGTTAATCCCCACCAAACTCACAGGGTACAGTAAAGGTTACAGTCTGTGAGCACAGTGAAGAGTACAGGCCTGCCAAGCACTGTTCTGCCGGCAGGCTTGTGTTACAGGGCTGCTTATCTCTCATTCCACGTACGTGGAGCTGCTTGGGAAACAGTTGAAGTTTAGAGTCTGTAACCGTATCCAGTACAAACAATTATCATAGGACACTTTTGTCCATTAAATGTCTCTCTCTCAAAACAGCACAGTAGTTTACAATGGTAGGGAAAAGGAAGATTTTCTAATATTCCATAGATACGTTTTTTCCTCTGTGTTATTCTATACTTGGGTTTTATAACCCAGTCTATGTCTGTCATTGCGTGTTGGGATGATCGTGATGTTGGCAAATCACTTGTTCTTTGGCCAGTTGCCAGAACACCTTGATCAAATTTTAGCTTAATCTAGGTGGAATTTAATTTTCTAAGCCATTTTGAGATTTAACTAGATGCAGATTCCTGTCAAATATGCTTCTCCTTCTAACCCAGCATGGAGTTGACAGTGGCTATGTCTACACGAGCAGTGGACTGTGCAGTTGTTACTGTGCGGTCATTTAGTATTTGCATAAGCCAATACTAAATAACTGCATTAACCATAGTTTATTGTGCAGTAGCATCCCTGCTCCCTTTTTTTCAGACAGTACTGCACAGTAGTGTTGCATCACGGTCAGTGCCCACAAGTGCTACTGCGCAGTAGCTCATTGCTAGTGCACAGTAGTGTCTCATGTAGATGTGCCCAGTGTTACATAAATATTGGCATATTATTCTCTGCTGGATAATAGAATCAGTGTCTTCAGAAGAGAAGCAAAAAAAATGCTCTATGCAACTCTGGAGAGTGAATCCCTTTGTATTTCATATTTCAGAATCTCAAAGTGCACCTTCAGTGTAACATATCCAATATAAACAAGGGTTTCCAGAGACTCTCTGACTGCTAACAGTTCACCTACACATCCCCTGTAGGGAAATCCTAGCAGTGAGAATAACATGAAGCCGAAGCCAACCTAGCAGTATCCTGGTTATACAGGGCACCCTGAAAGTGCCTATGCCATCTCCCAACCAGAACTCAGTCTGAATCCATAATAAACCACAGTCCATTGCTGCACTAGCTTTCATAATATATAAACCACATGTAAAATGGTGTGTTGTTTATTTTTTCTATTGTGGTAGTATCTAGGATATCCCATCATGAACTAGGACTCTACCATGTTAAGTTCTCTAGAAATACAGAACAAAACAGAGTGCACTTGATCATGTTGATGCGTTTTGTACATACCGGGTACATCTCCATGTGCACTTTACTACAGCATTGACTAATTAGCTCCTCAGTAAAACATCACCATCTACATGTGTGCTGATATTAGGGCACAGTAAATTAATTAACTCCGCTGTTAACACTATCCCTGACAGTACTATCTATCTTATGGCAGAGTACTTAACTCTGCTGAAACACATGTGTAGGTGGTGATAGGAGTTGGCTGGGACACTAGGGTGCTGAAGTGTGGGGGCTGCCTGCCACCTAACTCTGCACTTTAGCCCCCTCATGCCCCAGCCAGCCTCTCCGCCACCCAGTGTTGTCATCCCTGGGCTTCCTGCCAGCTCAGGGCTGCTCCACCCTGACTCAAACTGCTTTGCTCCTAGGGACATGTGCAGACGCTGTGCCCAGAAGCAGCTGACTTCAGCACAAACCTTGCCAGAGTTTATCACATCACCTTAATGGCACGTGTAGATGCACCCACACTGTGGGAATCACTGCCAGGGTTATTGTCATGGCAGGAAGATGCTACAAATGCTCCAGAAAACACAGGCCTTTAGGTGTTCTCACTAAGTACGGGCTGCAAGTCTCCATATAAAATACATAGATACACCTGGTGCTAGAACCTCCTGAGCTTTGGGTGTAAGCTTGTTCTAATACCCCAGTACTGACAGAACAGTATACTGTCCAACCTTTGAGAAACAGTAATGCTTTTATTAATTTAAGTCAAATGTAGTGGTGATAAAGAAATGAGGAGGAAGTATTCTGGGAATGTTAATTCAGGTTAGCCCCTGGAAAGGCATTAACTCAGTATGTAAGTGATATCAAGAGTGGTTTGTTGTAACATCCATTCACCTGATTGAGCATGATTGTAGCTGGGATCTGGCTGATTAGAATCCAGTAGTAATGCAGTAATAGGATGGCTGGCTGTGCTTTTCACTGAGATGAATGTCTGGACTGTATCTCTTTGTGGTGGGAACTCCCAGAAAGGAAAATCTAAGCAACGGAACCAAGCAAAACAAGTAATACTGTAGCTTAGTCCCCTCAACAGACAAGTAATGTCATAAACTCTTAAGAAAATAAGGCCTTCAGGAAGTCAGCTAGTCCAACCCCAGCTCAAAATAGGATCATACCTGTCTGAACCATTTCAGACAAGCGTTTATCTAACCTCCTCTTAAAAACTTCCAAGGATGGAAATTCCATAGCCAGGAAGAACTACCTGACTATGGAGAGATAAGGTGGGGTTGGCTCTAATCTACTGGACCACTGCATCATTTAAATGTTCAGCTCTTAGTGGACACAGCTACATGTGCCCCTGACTGTGCAGTTGTTACTGCGCAGTCATTTAGTACAAAATGCTAAAGCAAGTACTAAATGACTGTGCACCATTACTGCGCAGTCCTGGCAGTGCCTGCGTCATTTCCGACCGTACTCCACAGTGCTTTGTTGCTACCGTGCAGTAGCTTAGTGTCATGGCTTTTGCCCGCCAATGCTATGTCACCGTAGCAATGAGGTACAGCGTTATAGCTTATTGCTACAGTGACATAGTGTCTTATGTAGATGCGCCCAGTGTGTGCAGAAGCACATCATTGTAGAGCTGCATTCTGCTTGTAGAGGGCAACTTAGGAAAAGCTCCTTTGTTTCCTCCAGGTAGCTATCGGTTCTTGTCCTGCTGGTGATGATTAACTTCTGAATGGCAGCAATGAACATCTGAATGCAGGGATGAAGAATTCTGCTAACTGATGACTTCTGTGTTCCCTCCCCAGCTTGCCTGACCACCTTGTGCCTTGAAGGATCTGGACCCCTGGCTTCCCTGGCAGTCTGCGACAGCTCCACTCTCCTCTGTGCCAGCTTTAACTCAGGAATTCACTTACTCAGAATAAATAGCGCAAAGGGCCTGGAACTCCAAGAAGTGGCCAAATTCTGATTTGCAGAGACCTTCCCTGCAGAAGGCTATGTGGCAGGTCAAAGGCTGGAGACTCCTGTCTGCTCAAGAAGGGCTCTGAGTCACTTCCAAGATTTACTGATCAGTCACCTGTAAGGGGACTTCATTAATTCAGCCCCCAGCAGCAATGATGTAAATCAAATGCAGAAGTGGCAGGACTGGTCAGGTTCAGTTTCTGAGGTGACAGCTGCTACCTTTTTAAAGCCAAACTGTAGATGCATTTAGGCCAATTCTTAAGTTTAAAAGAGTTTGGCACAAATTACGGAAAACTACTTGTAAGTCTATTGTAAGGTTAGGGAACAAGACACGTAAGCTAAGACTGTAGTAAAATAAGCTAACTACTTATGTGGAACTCTGTTCCTTAGAAGGAATTTTGCTCGCCCTCTACGGTGGTATGGAGTTGATGTCATGTGGAGACACCACTCCTAGCTTCATCCAATTCCTTCATTCATTGTCCTTTTCCAAGAAATGTGCATAAGGAATTACATGAATTTGGTTGGTCAGCTCAAAGGAGAAACTACAGTAATGTCTCTCTTACCTAATTGGTTTTAAATCAGCATCTCCATTCTGTATCCCAGGAGCCACACTAGCTTGGAGTCTGGCTCACTATACAGTACCTTGAAAGAGTAGGGACTCTGGGGTATGAATACTGTGTACCATACTGACCCTTTGAGGGACAAAGGGACTATTCTGTTACTCTCAGGTTAGAAGCAGAGTGCTGTGCTATGAAGCAGCAAAGCTCTCTGTATAAACCTGGAAACCACGTTTTAGGCTTCAGGATTTAGAATGAGCTTGTTGTTTCTGCAGGTATCAGTGACTGACTAAATGAATGAACAATGCAGCATTGAGAAGTGCCAAGGCATTGGGTTAGGAAAGTTCAACCCATTTTTTATTGATCATAATCATTGTACTGTTTAGTGCAGCTAAATATGGTGCCACAGAAACCTTAGGCTTGGGGAGAATACTTGCGTTGTATGAACTCCGAGTTTTAAATGTGGCGTCCTCAGTAGGGAAGAGAAATTTTTGGTGACAGGGACTTCATCCTCTTTCGTGACAGGGGCACCCTATAAGAAAAGAGTTCAGAGAGACCCATACCTTCCAGGTAACGGGGATTTGCAGAAAGAGGCCTACTGGGCTGTCCAGTGAACACCAGGCTTGCCAGGTACAAGGCAGCCCTTTTTTCTTATATGATACCGAGCACCAAACATTATACTGTTTTCCCAGTATAATGACAACCAGCTCTCAGAAGTGCTTATGCTGTCCTTTTCCTGGTGGCTTATTCCTGGTGGCTTAACGTGAGGTTCAGAATGGTCTCTGGAAAGGAGAGCTCATGCAAATGTTCTGTCATACAGAAGTAGGGCTGGGAGGGACCTCCAGAGGTCACCTAGTCCATCCCCCTGCCTGAGGCAGGATCACCCCTGTCCAAACCATCCCATACAAACCATAATCTAAACTCTACACAAGACTACCCTCAACATAGACTTAGCATCCTAACCTGCCACAAGTAAAGCAGGGGAACCATGGCAGCCAATGTCCTGCTGCTATAAATTATACCCAATATACTCTCAAGAGATCCTGGGCAGAAGGCCATCCCCCCTGCTATAGAGGAAGGCAAAATCCCCCACAGCCATACCAACCTGACCATGGGTTAAATTCCTTCCTGACCCCAAAGATAGTGATCAGGCTGACCCTGAGCATACAGTCACTGAAATTGCTAGGAGGTTTCTCCATTATGGCGGCTGCTGCCTCATGTAGATGACACCAGGTAGTCAACTGGAATAGATGCAAAGTCTCCGTGTTCACTAACAACAGAAAGATCCTTTGTCTGCTACAGCTCCTGCCATGTTCCTGCCTGACAGGGCTGCCAACTAGCTATGAAACTGTGGTTAGTGATACCACCCATGTGGGGTCAGATTGTGAACTGTGGTCACTTGGCCAAAAAAGGCTAACTACAGTGGCTGATGACAGGAGAAGGTCTTCCTTCTTTGTGGCATTGGAGGACAGAACATACCAAATTGTGCCACTTTTTGCATCCTCCATCCTGAATAGTCCCCTAGAGATGTCCCTCCTCTATATAGCCACTTCATTGGTTTTGTGCCTAGAGGCTAAGCTCTCCAAACAGTTTTGAGCAAGCTTCCAAGAAACCTAGGCTCTCTTATGCGATGGGCAGCCTAACTACAGGGGTTACCACTAGCTTCCTCCCCTTTCATGACTCCCAGGCCTGGTACCTGAGTAACTTGATGCTCGTGGCCAAGTCTCTGAGTGTTGTGCTCTGCAGTGGTCTAATGAAATGGGCATTTCTTTGGCTCACTCCAAGGTAGCTGCTGTTATTAGGTAGAGCTGCTGGCTCTGCTTTGGATTCAGGGCACTTTTCACATGAGATTATTCCTGAGCCAATCTTTTTTTTTTTTAATTTCCTGTGATGAAAATAGGTGCTTTGTGCATAATGGTTTTGTATGTGTATTTACAAATAATGTGAGAGTATGTCTGTCTTCCATGAAATCTGTCTGTGGCATTTTTTCTCCTCTCTCTGGTAGAAATCTGAGTTAAAATACCCATGCACTTCTGTCTCAGTCACAATCTGACATCTTTTCACTTACAGCACAATTAAAGAGCCTTTTTGAAGGGTACCTCTGACCTGTGTAAAACTATACACCCCCTGGTTCTTTGTGAATAGCCAGATGATGCTCCAGGCGCATGCTTCGTTTAAGGTTTGCTGGCAGTGCCACTGGGATCCTGTGTCTAGTGTGTCTAATAACCTTAAGGATCCTATCAGTACATCTGCAAGCTGACAGTGATGCAGCAGGGCAGTATAGAGGAAATAATCCTCATATTTAACTTGTGGCAACCCTACACTGTTCTGGAAGCTGGGGTGTGATCTGGAGGAGTTGTTTGTTATTGGGATGGACAGTGAAGTGTTTCTGGCTTGTTGTAGTGCAGAAAGGTCATACTGGAGACCTAATGTTTGAGGGGCCAATTTCTCTAGACGTTAATCTGGGAAAAACAGCACTTCCTTTTGTGTGATGTAGAGGGGGCAGTGGTTAGCTAAAGCAAAGATGAAACTGAAAAGAAAAGCCCCTCAGAAGCCAGCCTGTTGGGTACAACTCAGTGGGATTTGGGCTTCTCACATCACTGCTAATGCCCTACATCAGTGGTCTCCAAAGTGGGGTGCGCACACCCCACAGGGTATGAAAGACAATCCATTGGGGTGCAAGAAGAAAATATTAGAACTTCTATTTATATTACTATAAATATAAATATACATATATTGGGGGGGCATGCTCAAAAATTTTTCCTGATAGGGGTGTGCGATCAAAAAAGTTTGGAGACCACTGCCCTACATGATGCATCTTATTCACCAGCCACCCTCAGATCCAGTCTCTCTATTTAGTGGAAGCTAACACTGGCTACCTGAGATGCAGGGTACAGGCACTTCATACAAATGCCGCCATCTGTCCCCTGGCATCTGCACTCCTCTACTTTTGACAGGTTAGAGTCTGCATCAAGTCCATAATATTTCAGCTAAATGTTTCTCCAATAATCTGTACTTTCAGAAAAGGTTTGTAACAATAGTTGCTCTTACTGGCCCTTTAAATGCTCTCCTTTCCACCCCAATGTTCCTTGAGAGGGTTTGTATCTGCCTTCTTGCAATTACCACGTTCTGTGATCGCCTCGGCCACCACCTCCTCCGCACCCAACCAGATATCTCCCACCTGCCTTGCATCCTTCCTGGGCAATGACCTTTGAAACAGTCCTGACGGATGTTAACGCTTTTCTTGGTTCTTTCGTCTCTCTCGGTTTATCCCATCAAGTTTCCTTTTATCCTCCCTGCCCAGAGTATCACTCTACTGAAACTCAATACTTTTCCCTGTGATATTACCTCTTCTTTATGTAACATCCTACAACAGGCAGATTTACAGTCGGAGAGAATTGGAGCTACAGAGCAGGAACTTGCAGGGTTAGAGACATTCTCTGCTGTGCCATCTTTCTGGACTCCAACCCAATAGCTACACTGAGTTCACAAGTAGCTGTCTGTGCTTAGTGCCCCTCTCTTGGTCTTTTATATCTCCTTTGCTTTGTCATCTACTTCTTCTTTGAATTGGATCCATGGGAACATACGGTGGGTGGCCAGAAGGACATGTTCTGTCCAGTCATGCACTTGTTTGAAATCTGTTTATATGCTCTGAATTACTATGTATGTTCCACTCAGGTTTAAACTGACCTCTTCATTTGGTGTAGTTCTTAGGGATGCTGTAGATGTACTACTAAAACCTGTTCTGACACCGGTTTGTAAAAGGAAAAAACTAGCTTACTTGGTCTCTGTCTTTTTCTAGATGACTTTAGGGGCATAGTGACACATTCACTTGCAACAGTTGCAAATCATTGGAATGCTGTGATGTATCAAACTTATTGTTAGATAATCTTCGCCTGAAAGGGACCAATTTTGCAATGCCATGATGGTACTTAACATGTACTAAACTGCTTTAACATTCATTTGCTTGCATTCTAACTGCACTTAGTAAGCATTAAGTTGAACATGTAACACCCCCCAGTAGAATATTTCACTGTGTGGTTTCTTGTGATGCTCATTTACATTACAGTAACAAGTGGTGGGGCTCAGATGTGGTGCCTGTTAATCTCCTTTGAACCAATTTAGTTGTTGACTTGTATGAATATAACTTACTGAAAGGATCAGGTGGCACTTTTTTGTACTGCAAATACAACTGGAATGTATTTTATAGATGACCTAGTTTATGGCCCACATTATATTCCTGGGCTGGAGCAAATAAAATTGAGCATACAAGTTCTTTGCCTTTGTATATTGAATAACAATCCTGTCTTGGAGAGCCCTACCCTTTAAAAAGTGTGTGTGATGCTGATGCAGACTTAATCTCCAGGTGGAAGGGACTGATGCCAGACTCACAGCCTGCTTTGCCAGCATTGGGTATTTTTCCAATAGTGAAGCATTTTCTGCTGAGCTGCCACTAGCTGACAAGGCTGTGGACATCAGTGCTCAGTCTGTCCCCTTCTCCCACTAGTGAGAGCTTTGGCTCGTTCTTTCTGCTCCATGTGAATTGGGCTACAAGACCATGGATGACAAGTTCAGAAGCACCCATTAGATGAAGCCGGTTGACGAGAGTGATTTGCTGTGGCATTGCTCTTG